GCAGCAACTTGATGGATTTGGAGTCGATCATACTCAGTGATTTATCACAGAAACAAAGAACAGAATTCCATATGTCTCACTCATAAGAGGAACTTGAACAATTATAATGCTATAAGAAAGCGATTGGCAGTAATGGGAAACTGTTGGTGGGGGTGGGGTGGGATTGGCAGTTGAGGGAAACTGCTAGGGGAGGGAGGGGCATACCTCATCAACAGGGGTACCTGCATGATCAATGTTTGTATACCTAACCCTGAACTGTACCCCACATCTTTACAATAAAAATTAACAAACAAACAAACATGCAATTACCATACAACTCAGCAATAGCACTTTTGGGCGCTGATCCCACAGAAATGATAACATTTCCACAAAAAAATTACACATGGATGTTCATGGCCGTCTTGTGATAGCCCAAACCTGGAGACAAGCTAGATGTCCCTAAGGAGGTGAATGGCTCAATGGACGGCAGGGCATCACGCTCTGCAACACCATCAGCGACAAAAAAAAAGAATGGACTGACACAAGTGACAACTTGGACGAATCTCAGGCAAATTATGCTGAAGGAAAAAAAATCAATCCCCCAAAGTTGTATATTGTGGCTCTATTTTTACAACACTCTTGAAATGAACTAGCTATAAAGATGGAGAACAAATTAGTAGTTGCCAGGGTTAGGGCAGAGGAAGGCACCTAGGGTACCAGGTGATGGGGAGGGCAAGAAGCAAGCAGGTGTGGTCCTAAAAGGGGGACCCTCGCATGCAGTGATGGAACGGCTCCACATCTCAACTGTGGGGATGGTTACATGAACCTACACATGTGGCAAAACTGCAGAGGATGAATACACACCCAGGTAAGTGAAACTGGAGAAATCTAAGATAGGTGGGCTCTATCTACATCAACATTCTGGATATGACATCGCTTTTACAAGATTTATAAGATTTTACCATTGAGGGAAATTGAGTAAAGGGTACATGGAATCCCTCTGTTTTCTTTCTTTTTTTTTGAGTTGGAGTCTCACTCAGTCGCCCAGACTGGAGTGCAGTGGCCGCTCCTGACCACCGCAGCCTTGACCTACTGGGTTCCAGTGATCCTTCCGCCTCAGCCTTCCAAGTAGCTGGAACTACAGGCGTGCGC